AGTGGCGCTGTGGCTCAAGTGGTAGAGCGCTAGCCTTGAGCTGAAGAGCTGAGGGACAGCGCCCAGGCCCAGAGTTCAGCCCCCACGACCGGACCCGCGCCCCCCCCCCAAAAAAAAGAAAGAATGTATTACTGTAATTACCCTGTTACCAAGAAAATAATAGAGGATGAACAAGATTCTTTTAGCTCAAGTCATAAAGCTAAAATTTAAACTCAGGATTAGACAGTAAACGAAGTCCTCTTCAGCTTTTAACTGTCTCTTAATATAATATTATGTGTATATTTTTTTTAATTTTTTTTTTTTTTTGGTCTGCCACGGGGCCTGAACTGTGGGCCTGGGAGCTGTTCCTAAGCTCTTCAGCTCAAGGCCAGAGCACTACCATTGAGTCACAGCACCACGTCTGGTTTTCTGATGGTTTACTGCAGATAAAAGTCTCACAGACTTTCCTGCCCAGGCTGGCTTGGAACCATGACCCTCAGATCTCAGCTTCTTGCGTAGCTAGGATGACAGGTGTGAGCCATCAATGCATGGCATGTATGTTTTTATGGCTAGAACATTTCCTCACAAGTTAGTATACTTTTTGACAAGACAAAGTAAGTATTAGATTGTCTAAATCTACCTTTTCAACCAGACTTTCATGCTTGTCTTTAAAATCTTCATTAACATCCAATGTTAAGATAGGCACCTCTTGGAGATAATCAAAGTTGGTTCTGTTTTAAAAGATTTTTTTAAAAAAGAATCAGAAAAACATTAAGTAAAAGCAAAACATTAAAAATTCATTCTTAAGTCATTTGAAAATCAAGAATGTTGCCATTATACACCAGACATCCTTCAAGTAATACAGCAGGCAGTCCATTCTTTTACAAGTAGATTTACTCGGCATAAATAAAAGTCTCAGGTACAGAATATATAAAACCTTTTTGATTCTCCTCAACAACAAAAAAGAAGAAAGTCTTACTTCAATGTTCTATGCAGGAGCCAACTTTCATGTTTATAGTGAAGTTTTTCCAAATATTCAAGAGGAATGCCTTGCTCTTCATTTCTTCCTCGTAAATATATTCTATTCAAGCATTTCTTAAAGAATCAAAAAGAAAAAAGGAAGTCAAGGAACAATTATTATTACCTGTCATTACAATTTTTTTTTCTAGTTACACTAGCCAAAATCTCTACTTGATCCTTCTATAAAGTTGAAATGGTTTATTTGATCCTTCTATGTGCTTTTCCAATGATGTGGCAGCTCTAAACTAAGCCATACTTTCCAAGTAAATCCAAGAAAGTTTTTAGACATAAAATATAATAATCAATGTAAATTTGGTTTAAAAGAAAGGGGGAGGACTGATGGCTCAATGGTACAACGCTTGCCTTGCATGCATGAGGCCCTCAGTTCCATTCCTCAGCACCATATAAGCAGGGAAAAAAAGCCGGAATGGCACTGTGGCTCAAGTGATAAAGTACTAACCTTGAGCTGAAGAGCAGTACCCAGGCCCAGAGTTCAAGCCCCATGACTGACAAAAAAATAAAAATAAAAATGTGTAATAAAAGAAAGGAGGATTTCATTAAACACCTATTTAAAAAGTTCAGAACAGGGGCTGGGAAGGTGGCTCAGTGGTAGATCGCTTGCCTTGCATACATGCGGCCCTGGGTTCGATTCCTCAGCACCACATAAGCAAAAGGAAAAAAGTTGGAAGTGGTCCTGTGGCTCAAGTGGTAGAGCGCTAACCTTGAGCTGAAGAGCTGAGGGACAGCACCCAGGCCCAGAGTTTGGGCCCCATGACCAGATCCAAAAAAAATAAAATAAATAAAAAATAAAAAGTTCAGAACAGACCTAAAGGCACAGCTGAACAAGAATGCCTGCCTAGCAAGCATGAAACTGAGTTCAAGCCCCAGTATCATCAAACACAATAAAGTTAAAGGAATGATAAAAGTATGCCCATCTATCAATTCTGCTTTGTTGTTAACCTAACTTGATTATAAAATATCACAGTGGGGGGGGATGGGAAGGGATAGGAAGGGGAAACAAAGGAGGAGGCTACAATGCTTGATAAGAAATGTACTCATTATCTTGCCCGTGTAATTGTAACCCCTCTGTACAGTATTTTCACAATAAAAAAAAGAATAAGATTATGCACAGAATTTGGATGGATCTAGAACAAATCATGTTAAGTGAGGTAAACAAAGCTCAGAGAGATAATGGTGCATGTTTTCTCTTATATGTGGAAGTTAGATCTAAAATACAACTGGAAGTGATCATTATACAGGGCTCTAGGCATTGTATACACAATCGACTAAAGGAAGATATTCTTCAGGGAGGAACCCAGAATAGTGTAACTACTCTTGATCATCTAGAATACTATTTATCAAAATGAATTCCAGGAAATGGAAACATGGTAAGTTCTTTTTTGTTGTTGCTACTGTTGGTGTTGCTTTTTAGATTGGTTTTTGTTTGTTTTTTTTTATCTTTTTAGGGAAGGCAAAAGAAATGGAGGAAGGGTGAACAAATGCAATGGTGGTATTCAGTGTATACCATGTGGAAAATGAACTCTGCAACTTGTGGGCAAGAACAGGAGGGGAAAACTGAGAGAAAGTGAAGGAAGGGGTGACACTGTCCAAGAAGAATTGTAGTTATTACCTGACTTATGGAATTGTAATCCCTCTGTACAATACTTTAATAGTAACAATGAAATTGCATTTTTTTTTTAAAGAGCAACTTGATGTCAAACATTTGGGCTTCTAGTTTGCTGAGAAAAAAAGATGTTTCTCTCTATACAGTCATGAGTTTCAAGGTGAGGATCCAGGAGGATGGAGTTGAAATTATGCTATATACCACTGAAAAGATCTGAGTAGTCCTTAAATTTTAAATGGAACAAACAAATATTTATTGGATCTCACCTCTGGAGTAGCTCGAAGATAAATGATTCCATCCAATTCAAGGCTTTGGCCAAATTGATTATTCATCCAGTCATGCCAGTCTTGATAAATTGTCCATTCTGTTTCATTCATGCAGTCAGATTCATACAAATTAGATGCAAAAATATACCTGAAAGAGAATCTCCATCAATGCATATATCACTTCAATAAAAAAAAAACAAAAAGAGGGCTGGGAAGTTGGATCAGTGGTAGAGCGCTTGCTTCACCTGCATGAGGCTCTGGATTCGATTCCTCAGCACCACATAAGCAGAAAAAGCCAGAAATGGCACTGTGGCTCAAGTGGTAGAACACTAACCTTGAGCTGAAGAGCTGAGGGACAGCGCCCAGGCCCAGGTCAGGCCCCATGACCGACAAAAAAAAAAAAAACAAAAAAAAACCCAAAGAAATAGGAAAGACAGTGTCTATAAACAAACAAAAAAGAATCTCTATAACTATAGGAGATTATTTTGTTGGCCAAAGATATAAAGAACTCTTAGAAGTCCCTAAGGTCCCCAAAGTTCTGTCAGATTTATTGATATACTGCTATATGTAAACCAAAAAATATACTATAACGAATTAAAGCAAAAACATAAATGAAAATGTAGCTATCTTCCATTAAATCAGATATTAGAGATCTACAGAAACACAAGCAATATTATTCTAATTTTTGTCAGAAATAGGAAATGTCAGAAGTATGAAATGTTAATGAGTTTGCTATTTGCTAATTTTAAACAAACATTTTTATTTCTCAATCTTAATTCTGAATGTAGTATCTAATGTAAATATCAATGCAATAAAGTCTTTGGACTCCTCAGCAACAAAAAGGGGACCTGGGAGCCAAACATTTCAGAACCTTTGTCAATTCTGAGGTCAAAAGAATTATAGCTATATAGGGAAATTCTAAGGCCCCCTTTGAAATTTTTAATTTTTATCTCCTTGCTATAGTTAAGAGTCTGGAACATAGGTATAATCAGGCAGATGAGAAATCCCAAGAGGATTAAAAGGGTTTTTTTTAAAAAAAAGCTTTTTTAAAGAAATAAAAAAAAGCTCTGTACAAATCTGAATGGTCACCTTATTCCCTAGAATTTTCATAGAAACTAAGCATTATAAATGCTAGAAATTCTCAACGCCATTAGTACTAGAATAATGAGAATATTAAATCATTTATTTTTGTTGTTGTTATTAGTCATGGGGCTTGAACTCTGGGCGTGGGCGCTGTCCTTCAGCTCTTCACTTGAGCCACAGCGTCACTTCCAGTTTTCCCAGTGGTTTATTGGAGATAAGAGTCTCATAGTCTTTCCTGCCTGAGTTGGCTTTGAATCATGATCCTCAGGTCTCAGCTTCCTAAGAGTAGCTACTATTACAGACATGAGCCACTGGCACCTGGCTATTAAATCATTTTCTATCTCACATTTCCAACTGAACTCCTGATTCATAGGAAATGGAAAAAAATGTCTAGTTCTGAGTCAAGACTGAATGGCCAAGTTTAAGACATTTACATACCTGTCACTATATACAGATCGTTCGAAAAATAACACAGGTTTCTCTGCATTTTTAAGCTTGCCATGTAGAGAGGCAAGCTGAGCTCGTATCCGACTGAGACAGGCATATGATTGGAATGTAAAAGACCACCGTTCAGGCTTCTCATACATCATCTGAAGAACATTCCCACCACTTTTCTGAGATGTTGTCAGTTCCTATTTTAAATTTGCAAAAGAAAAAAATAGTTAATGACCAATAGGGCTATTTTAATTATTTTAAAGGCTCAAATGAAGTTATGTAAATATATGATTCATTAGCCAAATGAAAAAATACTACATCCTCATTTCCCCTACTCTTTCCCAGTATTATTTTGAGTTACCAGAGTCTTGAAAGATCTTCCTCGCAAGAGGGCACATACAACCTGCATAGAAATTACTTGTCCAAAATTAACTTGTTAAAATTTGGGACTGAGAGTGTGGGTTAAGTGGGATGGTGCTTGCATCGCAAGTGTGAGATTCTGAGTTCAAGCCCCAGTTCCATCAAAAATAAGTAAGTGAACTGAATTGTCATCCTAATAAATATTTAGATTTATAGCTTTTTTTTCTTTTTAAGAGAGAAAAACAAGCCACATTGTGCTAATATTCCTTGGGGTGAAAATCAGCTACAGCCAACTCATACATTTCTCCATCAAGAAGGATATAAGCTCTCCTATTTATCAGCCTCCACTATTCCCAGATGATTCTTTAACAGACTTGGTTCACAGCAGGGACTTGATTTTCAATGTGGTTGAGTACTGGTGAGCCAACTGTAAGCTGAAAATGCAGTGCCTATACCCAAACTCTCAAATACCACAGTACACATTAGAGGACAAGTTGTGTCATGGTCATGTAGTTAGCTGGGAGCTATGACTCACTTGTGTAGTATAAGAGTATATCATACCATATTTCACTAGCTTGTGACAAGAGCAAAACTAAAGTACATCTTTTACTGAATTTGTGTCACTTCTGAACCATCATAAAGTTGAAAAACCAGTAACTGAACTATCAGAAGTTGGAGTAAATGGAGGACTATTTTACTTAGGTTCCAGGCCCCTTTAAATACTAGCGTTTGTATTTTTATATTATTTTATATTGTATTTTACATTATAAAACAAATCTAAAATTTTTACCATTAAATAATCACATTTTTAAGACCCATATTTTAGTGTTGAGGGGAAAAAAGGAAAACCTATATAAAAAATAGGTAAAAATTTTGTAACCTTACAAGTGAATTACAAATAGCACCCAGAACTCATGAATTATTTTTTTCTCTAAAATAGTTTTCCCAGCTTTGTCCACAAAAAGGTCTATCATCAATGATAAACCCCATAAAAATAAGCAAAAATAGCATCTAGATTATGATCTCTATCATTCATTTCCCATTGACCAGATTCCAGGTCTGGAAAAGGAAATGTTCAAGATGAGTTCCAGTAAACAAGGAAACTATCAAAGACTACTGGGTGAAAGGCAAAGGAGCCAACAGACACAGGTTAAAAAAGGACTGTTTGAACACACAAACCAAATGGCAGGTAAAAATGAGTTCATACTTTAAAAACTTAGGGGCTGGGAAGGTGACTTAGTGGTACAGTGTCTGCCTAGCATGCATGAAACCCTGGGTTCAATTCCTCCGTACCTCATAAACAGAAAAGGCCAGAAGTGAAGCTGGGGATCTGTTATCAATTATTCTCGAAGAGTGTAGGTAATGAAGTAGTTGTGGAGAAAATTTTTTTACTGAACCCAATAATAAATTAGGTGAAAAAAAAACTATCTTTTAAACACTTGATATACTAGATTCAAGAAAAATTAGTAACAGATGTTCAAAGTATTAGAGAATAGTGGTAAGAATGCTTCTTACTTTTTTTTTAACTGCTACCCAGGATAGACTTAAATTCCTAGGCCCAAGCAAGCTCTCAAGAGCCTCAGGCTTCTACGGATGAATTAGACTGAACCATCTTTTTTTTTTTTTTTGTCGGTTGTAGGGCCTGGACTCTGGGTCTGGGCATTGTCCCTTAGCTCTTCAGCTTAAGGCTAGCCCTCTATCACTTGAGCCACAATGCCACTTCCAAATTTTTCTGCTTATGTGGTACTGAGGAATACAACCCAGGGCCTCATGCATGCAAGGCAAGCACTCTACCTACCACTGAGCCACCTTCATCAGTTTTTCTTTCTAACTTTATTGTAAAGGTGATATACAAAGGGGTTACAGTTACATAAGTAAGGTAATGATTACATTTCTTGTTGAACAGTTACCCCCTCCCTTGTTTTTCTCCCACCATCCCTCCCCACCCTGACTCCTTCCCCCAGGTGTAAAGTTCATTTTCAACAGTGTTTTGCGAATATCGCTGTTGTTTTTTGTCTCACCATTTCGTTATTCTCCTTCTCTTTCCCAAATCAGATAAACATATATACTAGACACAGGGTACAAAAATCAAAAAGTGATAATGGGATAAACCAAAGGGAGAGGGAGAAACGAAAGAAAAAAGAAATTAACTTCACACAGTACATTAAAAACAAAAAACCTCATCTCCGTATCTTGGAGTTTATTTCTATTAGCATTATTTTATATGGTCGTATGTACATAGTTTTTGAGCTAATGTGATCCTCTGCTAGTACTCTCCTACACATGTACTAATTACTACAAATGAGGGAAAACATGGAGCCTGTTTTTTGGGGCCTGTCTTACTTCACTTAATATGACTTTTTCCAAGTCTTTCCATTTCCTTAGAATGGGGTGGTGTCATTTTTTCTGATGGAAGCATAGCATTCCAATGTATACATACATCACATTTTCGTGATCCATTCATCTACTGAGGGGTATCTGGGTTGGTTCCGTATCTAAGCTATAGTAAATAATGCTGCTCCTTTGGCCATGTGGTCTCCACCATGCACAGTGAGGCAGCAGTTAGTTAAAACTATAATAAACTTTTCTTCCTGCCTGAAAAAAAAAAAAATGCCGCAATGAACATAGTTGTGCTGGTAGCTTTGGTGTGGCCATGTTTGTGTTCATTTGGCCAAATGATCAGGAGTGGGATTGCTAGATCATAGGTAGACTATGTTAAGTCTTTTGAGGAACCTCCATACTGTTTTCCAGAGTGGTTGCCCAGTTTACATTCCCACCAACAGTGTAACAGAGTTCCCTTTGGGCCACAACCCTGCTAGCATCTACTATTATTCATTTTTTTGATAATGGCCATTCTAACAGAATCTCAATGTGGTTTTGATTTGCATTTCTTTTATGTTGAACATTTCTTCTATGTTGAACATTTCCTCATGTGTCTATTGGCCATTTTTTTTTTTTTTTTTTTTGTCGGTTGTGGGGCTTGAACTCTGGGCCTGAGTGCTGTCCCTCAGCTCTTCAGCTCAAGGCGAGGGCTCTATCACTTGAGCTACAGCGCCACTTCTGGTTTTCTGGTGGTTTATTGGAGATAGGAGTCTCACGGTCTTTCCTGCCTGGGCTGGCTTTGAACCGCGATCCTCAGATCTCAGCCTCCTGAGTAGCTAGGATTACAGGCGTGAGCCACCAGCGCCCAGCTGGCCATTCTTATTTCTTCTCCAGTAAAGTCTCTTTTTAATTCTTTAGCCCACTTATTAATGGGGTGGTTGTTTCTTTGAAGATTTTTTATTGGGGGGTTTAATTTTTTCAGCTCTAGGTATATATACTTTTTTTCTTTGGGGGAGGGGGTCCGGTCATGGGCCTGAACTCTGGGCCTGGGCACTGTCCCTCAGCTCTTCAGCTCAAGGCTAGTGCTCTACCACTTGAGCCACAGCACCACTTCCGGCTTTTTTTTTCTGCTCATGTGGTGCTGAGGAATCGAACTCAGGGCCTCATGCATGCAAGGCAAGTGCTCTACCACTGAGCCACCTTCCCAGCCCTACGCATATTTTTTTAAATCAGTCCTTTGCCTGTTGTATAGCTAGTGAAGATCTCCCAATCTGTGGGTTTTCTATTTCTCTTACTAGCTATGTCCTTTGCCATTTATCCAGCCTTTCTTTGATTTGTTGTGTTTCTGGATCTTTATTTAGGAAGTTTCAACTTGTACCAAGGAGCCCTAGCATATCCCCTCATCCCTTTTTGTGGTTAATTGGAGACAAGAATCTAAAGGACTTTCCTGCCTGAACTGGCTTTCAATTGTGATCTTCAGGTCTCAGCCTCCCGAGTGGCTAAGATGACAGGTGTGGGCCACCAGTACTTGAATTATTAGCCACATTTTTTTTAAAGTTTTTATTAATGTGTTGTTTGGTGTGTGTGTGTGCCAGTCCTGCGGTTTGAACTCAGAGCCTGGGCATTGTCTCTGAACTTCTTTTGCTTAAGGATAGTGCTCTCTACCACTTGACCCACAGCTCCAAATGCTGGTTTCCAGTTAAAGTCTGAATTCCCACTTAATGTCCATTATAACAGATGCTAAATTTGTATTGTTATAAAGACCACAGCATCAGGCCTTATGCTAGGTGAAATAAATATAAAAACAAATACTATATGATTCCACTTCTCTGGTTTATCTAAAATCAGATTCATAGATAAAGAAAGTGGAATGATGTTTACCAACATCTAGGGAGGGAGTAGGCAATGGGAGTTGTTTAATTGGTATAGAGATTTAGTTTTAAAAGTTAGTAAAGGTATTGGAAGTTTGTTCTACAACAATGTAAACATACTTAATGCTAATAGGCCACATACTTAATTAAAATGGGTAAGATGGCAAATTTTACACACTGTAATTATGTTTTTAAAAAAATAAAAAAGCCTGGGCTGGGAAGGTAGCTCAGTGGTAGAGTGCTTGCCTTACATGCATGAGGCCCTGGGTTTGATTCCTCAGCACCACATAAGCAGAAAAAGCCAGAAGTGGCACTGTGGCTCAAGTGGTAGAGCGCTAGCTTTGAGCTGAAGAGCTGAGGGACAGTGCCCAGGACCAGAGTTCAGGCCCCACAACTGGCAAAAATAAAAATAAATAAAAAATAAAAAAGCCAATATCTAGTATATGTATGAGTCAAGCAGAAAAGGTCAGATAAAGGTGATGTTAGGAAAATGAGCCCTTAGATATGTATTTAAATGTTTTTTTAGCTTTCATGTATTTGTTTCTAGCGCATTTATAAAATTATTTTTTTGTTGCTTTGTATGTCACTCCCCCACAGTATAACCCCTGCTTTCACTGTATTTGATGTCGGTATAATTTGTGGAG